AAAAAAAAAAACAAAACGTTTTGGTATTTATTAAAATATATAGTAGATATAAATTTGTTATTTAAATTCTATTTGATTAAGTTTATAAAAATACTAATTCACATAAAAATCTGCACTATCCATAAAATATTAAAAATCCTCATATTTGTCTTTAAATATTTTGAATTTAATATTTAAAATTAACCAACTGTATTACAGTGTAATGGTATCATTGTGTAATAATGTAACCAACTGTATTACAGTTACTTGATTTGCCTGGTATCATCGAAGGTGCAAAAGATGGTAAAGGACGCGGAAGACAAGTTATCGCAGTTGCGAGGACTTGTAGTTTAATATTTATCGTTCTGGATGTATTGAAACCGCTTGGCCACAAGAGATTAATCGAACACGAATTGGAAGGTTTTGGACTTCGTTTAAACAAACAACCTCCGAACATTACTTTCCGCAAGAAGGATAAAGGTGGCATTAATTTTCAAACCACGGTAATTAAGCGACACAGAGAAGAGCAACAAAGAAAGCTACACGTGATTCGCAATTCGTTTCGATTTTGTGCAGTGTAACTATCTCTTCATATGTTTTATTATGTCGAACAGAGTCATGCGTAGTTTTTATAAAATGGCTATTGTGTAGAAATCTACACAAAAAATTAAAATGATTGTATTATTATATAGTGTGCACAATCAGAACTTGACTTAGAAACAGTGAAGAGTATTCTATCTGAATATAGAATACACAATGCGGATATTACTTTACGATACGATGCCACATCTGACGATCTAATCGACGTCATCGAGGGAAATCGTGTCTACATACCGTGTATTTATTTGCTCAATAAAATAGGTAATTGTGTAAGGTCGTTTAAAATTCTAGAATAATAATTCGAATTATTGATGAGAATTTTTTTTTTGTTTGATTCCTAGATCAAATTAGTATCGAAGAACTAGACATCATTTATAAAATACCGCATTGCGTACCGATTTCTGCTCATCACAAGTGGAACTTCGATGATCTCCTTGAAAAAATGTGGGAGTACTTACAGTTGGTTAGAATGTAAGTAGTATTTGAAACGATTGATTTCATTAATTCTTTGATGTATCAAGTCGATTTGGTTCTATTGTTTAGCTATACGAAACCAAAGGGACAGTTACCAGACTACAATTCCCCGGTAGTATTGAACAGGGAGAAACGAACGGTCGAAGACTTTTGTAATAAACTACATCGATCTATCGCAAAAGAGTTCAAATAGTACGTATTCACTCTAGTCGCATTTGTAATTATCTATTCTTAATTAATAGAACTCTTTTTTATTTATGTCATTTTTAGTGCTCTTGTATGGGGATCGTCCGTCAAACATCAACCACAAAAGGTTGGGAAAGATCACATATTATGCGACGAGGATGTCGTGCAGATTGTGAAAAAAGTATAATATAATTTTACTTAGTATTTTATTTGATTTTCTCTATGTTAGTAGTAATAGAATTACTACTAATTATGAAAGAATTTTTATAGTTCATCTTTTCGTAATTAAAAACTTTATTTTATAATTACAATTTTGAGATTCATTTTATTTTACTTCATGTAAAACTATTCTTATCAGAATGCGTTAAGATTAAAACAAAAATATGCACATATTAGAAATGTTTGAAAATGAACTACAAATGAATTTTTTTAATGAATATGTGTATAAATTATTAATAGTATATAAATCATTAAGTATATAATCATTTGAGATCATTTTATTTATTTAAAGTTAAGTATGAAATGCATACCTATTCGCACAAGTAAGATATACATATAATCATATAAATAACAACATTGTTATTTATAAACTTTTTAAAATATATTCTCTTCGCTGTTGATCCAATAACTTTTCAAGATGTTGACACTTTAATTTTACGTCATGAAGTTCTTTTGTCAAATTTTTTATTGTCAATACCTTTTGAGTTATTATCAATTTAATTCTAGAACATAGAAACAGAATTATTTTGTTAATAATTAAAAAGACAGATATTTTTTGAATAATATACAATACCATATCAAAATGAAATGAAGGTGTATTAAACACAATTTATTATTTAAAAGAAAAAGAAAAACGAAAGAAAAGTAGTATTATATAAGGACACAGAATGTTAGGACTGTATAAAAAGTGAGACAATTTTTATGTATGTATAATGAATATCCATAATGTCTTATATATTTGACAGTGGAAATATTAAATGGAAAAAGATTGAGTGACATTTAATAGTCTCAAATAAAAACTAAGAAAGCATCCAAATTCACAAAGAAAGTTTAAAGTTACAATATAAGAATCAAGAACGCAGAATGTTAATATTATGTTGAATCATGCCTTATGCTGGAGATGCTTCAAAAAAAATTATATAGAAAAAGAAAGATATTCAATTTCTGCCATAGACAATCCAAAATCTTGATATGAATGTTATCAGTGTTTTGTTTTGTTTGTTTAAAAGTGTTTTGTTTCAATGTAATTTGAAACAAAAATTAGGAAAATATCTAAATATAAAAGTTTGTGCTTTGGATCAATGAGTCGTTCAAAAATTGTGCTTAATACAGTTCAAGAATAATATAAAGTAAAAGAGTTAAACACTGAATATAAAAATATATAAAATTTTTTCTACTTCTCAATTTTTTCTATAAATTTGATAAAATGAATGTTTTATCTTGATACGGTATGGTAATCAGCGAATTGAGTAAATCAAACCTGCTGTGCAACTGAGCCATCGAGGCGTCTCTATTTGCATTAATACGAGTTATTTCTTGATAAAGCGAGGTAATTTTTTCCTCCAATTCTCTTTTTTCCTGTTCGATCTCTTGTCTTGCCAATTTTTTCGAATTATTTCTTTCCATACTTAACCGTTTGATCATCTAAAGATATCATTTATCATTCGAAATATAATTGTTAATTGATAATTGCTCTTTGTTAGTGATGATAATTGATTGCTCTTTAAAATACTTTACCTCATTTGCATTATTCAACTCGGATACATATTCTTGCAACTTGCTCTCCGCTTGTTGCAATTGAATTTCAGTTTTCTCCAGCTTATCTTTCGTTTGAATTAATTTAGCTTTGTGAAGCTGTTCGTTGTCTATCGTTGTTTGCAAATCTATTTCGTACTTGTCTCTCAGAGATCTGAAAAACACAATGAAACGTTATCTACATCGTTAGAAGATACATATTTTGCGCTGTAATAGCTATTTCTTGTAGAGTTTTATGTTCTTTTTTTTCTCCAAAATTAATTTTCTCAAAAATTGGAGGTGATGGAGAGAAGTAATTTTCATATTTGACGAAAATTTTACAAGAATTAAATGTTGAAAAGTTAATCCTTAATATTATGATCTTTTTATTTTGTTTATAAAAATTTCTATTGATTTCTACTGAGATTTGTTTATGTTTCATCAAAAAAAAAAGCAAATAATTCTTAATATAGCAATTTTTTACAAATGAAAAAAATGTGAATGTAATATGTTTTCAATGTGTTACATAGATCATTATATTCATGACAAATTATATTCGCATATTGATATATTCACAATATAAAGAAGAGAGAAGGAATTAATTATAGTTAAAAAAGAGAACTTCTTTTTATTAACCTCTAGATAGAATATTTTTTAATTGAAACGAAACGAAAAATTACGAAAATTTTGCATTTGATGAAACTAAAGAAAAATGTCAAAAAAGCATTGCTGCGTAATGATTTCAGTTCATGTAACATTAGTATTAGACATCATGATACTAAGAATTAAATTGTCGGAGAGTGAAATTAGAAATATATTATTATTGTTTATGTATTTAAATATTGGTACTGAGATACATGTATATTAAAATATAGGTATACTAACATTCAGGTATATTTTGTGTAATTATTATTGTACTCGTATAACAAAAATATCAGATACTTAATATCATGATCACGTTATTTCTGAAATAAACAACTTTTTATATTAAGTTACTAGAAAATGTTAATGATGATTAAATCTTGGAAAATCTGTTATTTAAATTATATTGTTTTATATCGTTACTATAATTTATTTACTTGTATATAATGTTGCATATTTGTTTAATAATTATTATCTACATTATCATATATAAATTTGTAAATGATGTTGTTATCTACATTATCACATATTTCTTTCAGAAATGACTTGCATAAATATATTTACAGCTTTGGATATTTTTTTGTGCATAATATGTATAATAAGAACCAATAACATGATTGTTAGTATTTAGCAATCAATGACCTGACTGTAGTGTCATGTAATTTTCAAAGATTTTAAATTTTTAACAAAAGTCGATTCTTTGTGAAAGTCGCTCCGAAATATAGCGTTATTTTATAACGTTTAATTCTATTAATTATATTAATTATAGCGTTTAATTATAACGTTAATAATGATAAAACTTGAGTGCTCGCTAAAATGATCAAAAACTTAAAAGTTTAATATCGAACGAGAAGTATGTAACAAATTAAGAATATAGTCATTTTTAAACTTATAATAATTATAGTAATCTTATAATAATTCCTTTATCAATGAAAAATTGAAAAATATTATTATCGAATTTTATTAATTTTGTCGAATTTCTTCACATGCATTCGATTCGTTTCAGGTAAATATTTCTGTATTGTAAATTTTTGCTATTGTAAAATTTTTGCTATTGTAAAATTTTGAAAGTAATGAATATTTCTCTGTAAGGTCTGATGATCTAGATCAAGAGATTAGTTCTTCACAACTAATCCGTCGTTGAAATTGTTCGTATCGATTTATCGTTCGTCCTATTTTTGTTATAACTTTTTAATGAGGCATTTTATTTTAATGGAGTTTTTTTTAGAACATAATATTTTAGTCTTTTTTTTACCTAATAGTAGAACATATTAACAAATTTGAACACCTCGAAACATCCTGCATGTCAATTCTTGTATACTTTCTGGTTATATCATATAACGATAGACATGTTCATTTTCTACATGCAACATACCAAAATACTAAATGTAAATAAGAAAATCATTGTTGATAGTAGAAATGTATATTGATATTAGACTATCTTATTACAGAACGTCGGCAGTGTATTTTTAATAGATGCTTAAACCAATGACCTCTAACAATAAGTGAAATGAATCATAAGTTACCTAATTTTGCAATCAAAGTTTCGCTGAAGCATGGCCCTCTCGTTTCGAGAATCCTTTTCCAAACGTTCGATGGCAAGTTCAATTTGTCGGTCCCTCTCCTTGTTACACTCATTTTTTATCTTATTCTCGGCTTGTTCGATTCGTGAATTTTGTTGTCTCTTGTAGTCGAGTAACCAGGCTTCCCACTCAGCCTTCAATGATTCCTCAAACGTCTTTTTCTCATTCGAATGTTGTTGCTTCAGATTCTCCATTTCTTTCTAAAATTTCAAATTGATGACACACTAGCAAATGTTCCAAGCTTTCGGTTTCTATACCTGATGCTGTAAATGCTTCTCTTGCAAACTGGCTTCCATTTCAGCATCCCGTTTAGCCTGTTCCGTGGTAAAATTTTCTCTGTCGCGTTGTATTTCTTGGACAAATTTCATTTGTTGCGTTTTAAATTGATTTTCTTGCTCCTCCAATTTCTCTTGGTATCTGAGCGATACAAAGATCATTGTACATTTATTTCATCGGGAAATTGTGGATATACACGTGACGTAACTAGTAGTACAATTATAACAACCAATACCCAACGATGAAAAATTGTCGATAACTTAAATTATTATAATCAACAAAAAAAAAAAAAAAATCATTTTAAAGAGTAAACTGTGAACTTTGAATCTGTATCCGTTTTTTCTAATGATATTTTTATATCGTGTACTTTTATTTTCGAAAATTGTGAAAATTCTAAAAAACTTTTTTCATGATTAGATCAACCATCATCTTGAAGATTGAAGTCACCTTAAATATTTTCTTTCATCAATTCATAATTTTATTAAACATTAGTTATTAGAATATTAGTTGGTTAAACGATAAAAATTTAAGAATTTTTAACATTTCATCTAATAATAACAACAACAAAACTAACAACAATAACTGCAATAATAATAATATTGTAACGATCTGTTTTAATTATTCTCCCTCGTGCAGTTTGGAATTAATTAAATTCAAATAGTAAAATAGCGTTTGAAACAAAAAAAATAAAAGTATTCGCAGAGATCATTTTCCGTACAGTGTTATGTTCGTTAATTTGAAACAATTATTTATCTTCATATTTTATTTTACAAATATATTCATCATATATTTCAATTATATATTGATGAAGTCGAAATAATTATTTGAAATAAATAATTTTCACGTTATATGTATAATGAAATATTTCAATGTACATTTGTACAACGAGATGCGTCTTTCATAATATTCAGTAAATAGATGCACAGACTATTTTATGAATTTAATATATTAATACTTTTGTCGGACTCAGAGAGATTTAGTTTTAAAAGCATATTAAAACTGTATATCTGATTTGAAATGTGTAAATTATTTAAGGCAAAAAACCGGAATATGTAAATATACGTAACGTATGAAAAATAATATTTGGAACGATTAATGAAAGTTTAATAGCGCAAAGTGTTACTTCTAACAATTATTTTTAATAACTGCCATTTGTGTGTTTCAAATAAATATTTTCATTATACTTATATGCATTACTGAAATAAATTTCCAAATCATTTTATTTCAATTATTATTTCTAATACCTTTCACTCGAAATGTACTTATGATTCGATTTATAAATATACTTGATAAATCTTCAAACTTGATTTTCTCGAAAATGAAGATCTTTCCATATGTTGAAAAATGTTATTCTTCCTTTTTGACTTATTTTTGCACGTAGAATCGCTTTTTAGTTGATTGTATCACATATATGTATATAACACCGACAAAAGAAAGTGTAAAACATTTTTTAAAAGTTTAAAGTTTAAATTTCATTTGAAATAAATATCTTCTATATTTAGTCCACGAATAATCATATTTTTCACACCTTCCTATATTCATACTTTCGTTTGATGATAAATTTCTTTACTGTTTTCGACTTTTGAAAAATCTGAAAGAATTTTGAGATACTTATTGGAGTCTCTAGTTTAATATAAAATTTGTCTTTGAATCAAATATTTCAAGAAATAATTAGCAAAAATGAAAATTCATTTCGAGAAAGAAATTTGAGAGTGATATTACACAGGACATAAATAATCCAGATTAATCGCGAAAGTCTAAAACGTACAATTATAATAAGTCAAGAAAGTATTTTATATAATAGTCTTTTGGCGATGTTTTTACGAAAACAAATGATATATTAGCAGAAACTGTTTCCACAAATAATTCACTACAAAATCTATTTCCAATAATTCAACAAACAAAAGTCCATTACATACAGTAGCAATTTTTAATAACGAGTTATAATGGTGGAATGTTATTATAAAAATTACAAAATATTCTTTTGTAAATACTGAAATATTATTGAATGATAATGTAACAACATTAGAAAATGACTTTAAATCATGAAAAATACTTTATACTGTGTCATGATAGAGCTGCCATGCCAAAAGGAAATTCCTCATATGTCAATATCTTTTTGATTCTTGAATTTTTATATTATTATTGAAAATTGCTACTGTGCACATTATTTTCATATGTAATAAAATATTTATAGAAACAGATTTTATTAATGTATTATTTGTTTTCGCAAAAACATTGCAAGGAAACTACGTGCCAATATTTTCTTAGTCTATTGTATTTTCCAACATATTCATTTCTCCTGTTAATCGTGATTTAATTTTATAAAGTTGATGTGTTTTTTCTCATTTTATTCTTTCAACGTTCTTTTGGCCATTACTGTATACTTCAAAATTTATTTTGACACCTGACGCCTAAAATGTTTTTCTCATTGGCCAACATCCTCTCGTAACTGGCCGTCAATTCCAAGCGTAGTTGTTCTAATTGTTGATTAGAACGACGTATTATTCGTAACTCGGCGTCCTGCAATTCCTTCATATGTATGTTTCGTAGCCTTTGAATTTCTTCAGTGTGTTGTTCCATCATGTTACGCAGCTCTGGTTCCAAACCCTTCACCGTCATTTCCTAAAAATGTTACATAAGTTATTCTTCCTTTTTAAATGTAATAGAAATGTAAATTACATCTCGTAATAGATGAAAAAAATACATTTAATCATATTTGAATAATGACCTTAGAAACCAATAGCGTGATGAAATTATTACGATGATGTATAAACTTACTGTTTGTGTTCAACGTTTAATTATATGTTATAAATACCTATTTTATAAGAAAAAATGTGTGTTAAATTGACAGACGAGGGACGAATGAAGGTCGAAAATGACTATGAGAACGTTGAAAGACCTTCAACGTTATTTCTGATATTATTATAAAAATGGTTCGTATCTACGAATTTGCTACCTTGATCTTCGTCGTTCTAGTCTCTATCCATCGTTCTCGTTTAATCTTCTCAGCCGCAGCAAAATACTCCTTCGCTCTTTGTAGCTCTACGTTATGCCTATCGCTTGCAGCCTTCAGATCCCGTTGCATTTTTATTTCAATCTCCTTCACTCTCTGCGCCAACGAATTGCATTTCTCAGTCAGATCGGTTTTCTCAGAGATCAGCTGCTCGATGAATTTCTGATGCCTCTTCACGATTCCCTTGTACTTCTCCTCTTGTTGCTGCAACTTGCAGGAACTGTTTCTCTTCTGTTCTTCCAACTTGTCGCAAGCTGCCTTCCTTTCTGTCTTTAGCTGTTCTTTCAACAGCGATAACGTGGCGTTCTTTTCTTCCAGTAACAACTCGGCTGTCGCTAAATCTTCTTTAAACGCGTGATTATCGTTGTTAACGTTAGACGGACTGGCACTAAAGGGAAATATAAATGCAAAGTAATTGGTTATCCAAAGCATAAAGAGTAATGTTGAATCAGAAACTTTGTAATGTTGAAATTTGAAGCACTGACTTCATTTTGTAGGAGGAATTTCTTATTTCAAGAGTTGGAGTCAACACCTTTATATAAATTCTTTATTGGCCATAATTAAGCAAAATGTAAATAAAAACATACTATATAAATGAAAACAGAAATATTTAATTCAGACTCTTATTTAACACTAGAACTAATGTTTCTAATCGACGATTAGGATATAAAATTTCCATCCAAAGGTTCTATCCAAAGTTAAAGAGATAGAAAATTGTATAACACAATGGAATACATACTTCATTTATAGATTTTATGAAAATCATTTAAATCTCTTACAATAATCTCTAAAACTAATAATTAAATCTCTAAATCTCTAATAATTTAATCTCCAACAATAGGACTGTACTATATCTATAAATTATCTAACAAAAATTAAAAATTGATCATTTTGATATTTCTAGTGTCAAGAAATCAACTTCTATTAGAAAATATTTTTTAAATAGATCCTTTAGATTTGGATAAATTTTGTCTTTTGTCTTCTATAGATAATAATGAAGTATAATGTTATTGTCATGATATTAAATAAAATTTAATACAACATGTAATGATATTTAATAAAATCATTAATATTAAACAAGATATTAGATGAATGTTTAATTAATATAAATAAACAAACAAAAAATATTAACACATTGATGCGATACGCAAAATGTTTCCATCATTATATTATTCCTTTGCAAATTTTAATTAATTCTTTTCAACAAGAACAGATTCATATATAAAATAACCTGTAGTCATTATGCTCTTCTCTATATTGCATCTCGCAAGACAGAGACTCTGGATTAGTAAATACTTCTCTAAATATGGTGTCGTTTACTTCCGGTATGCAAAACTTTGTTTCATCTATGGAACCTGTTGTGTACATATCTATTTTTATAGAAGCACAAGGAAACAACGAAAATATCATTAATACCGATAAAATCAGCTACCCTCTTCGAGTTTGGCCAAAAAGGACATTATATCATCGTACATAGTTGCGTTTGCTGCGTGTTTCCCTTCAGATTCGTCTTTTTCTGGTTTCAGCTGTAATAAAAAATTTGGATCAATCCAATTTGGACGCAGCTGAACGAAAAATTCGTAGACTGTAGATTTTTATTTTTTGAGAACATAATTATAGAATCTCTCTCTGTACTTTTAATCACATTTAATTTACATTTAATCAAAGAAGTAATATTCGCATAGAATAATAAATAATATTAACAATGATATAATATAATAGATGAACAACAATATTAGAATATTATTTTAAATGTTTCCATATATTTTTCCATATTAAATGCATTGTGTGCAATATCTTATAAATATAAACGAGTAAAATAAATAGAAATATAAATGAATAAGAATCCACAATCTAATCTAGCGATTACTGTGCTAATATATTAGTTATATTAATATGTAATATATAATACTGATGAATTAATATAATAATTGTTAACAATTGATGGGTTGCAGCAGAAGAAGACACTCTTTTCGTTAAAAAAGATATGTAAAAAATCTTCTGTTTTGTGTGAAGAAAACTACTAGCTCCAAGTAATAAATGTGTTAAAAAATTTTATTCGAAATTTTATATCAAAATAATGATACTATCTAATTTTTTATTGTTTCTTTTTATTAGTTTACTCTTAAAATTATTCGATAGTAGAGCTCTTCCTCTTGATTGCAGCAATGCCTTCAATTATATTAAATGCACGAACATCCGTATTTTATTCATAATTAGATAGACTGCGGATTTTTATTTTTACGCATTTACAGAAAATTTCAAAATAGGTGATTTTTAAAGCTGCACGTGATATTCTAAAATACAATGCTCTTTATAACATTCGACACGTAACACAAGTTTTCTATCAGGCATTTATCCTGTTTTTCTTTCATCATATTTTTAACAATATAAATTTGCACAAAAATCCACAGTTCATTCATAACATTGTTTCTTCGAACCTGATCTATCTCTGGCATCTTGACAGCTATGTCTTTCTCGAGATCGCTAATTATGTTGCAAAGTTGCTCGAACGAGCATGTAGTCGAGTCGATGATGTTTTCATTGCAGTCTGCTCTCTGTGTTTTTCTCTCGTTAATTTCCACTTTTTCGTGGATCGTTTGTGCGAACTGTTTCTCTTTAGACTTGACATCTTTCGACGAAGGAAGAGATTTCTTCACTGGTGGTCTCCCGTGGATTTTTGGATGCTCTATGTTAATCATAATCTACGAAGCAAAGATTTGTCGTCGACATGAGAATTCGAGTACTCATACTGAGTACCAAATATTGTTCGCCCCTTTTTATAGGTGCGTTTATGGTTGTCAAGGCAATGTCAGGGTAACGGGATAGCAAAACTTTTCCGCAGCTGTTCTGCTTTTTGACAGAATGATTTGTATTGATTGTCATGGTGGTCATCGCTAATCGACGTTTTTATTCTGGGCTTGGGTATTATTTAAATAAATACGAAGAGCATGGCTGAACAGATCGTCAACATTTTAATCCAGAGTTCGAAATAAACAATTATTTATCATTATGTTGATTGAAATGTTATTTGAAATATTTATTTAATTTTACGGGTATATTCACTATGAATTTCAATTACATAATTCTCTCGTTATACATGAAATATTTCATGGGATTCTTATGATATTTAAAATATCAGGAGACGTTTTTAATAATACTCAACAAATATGATAATGTGCGCTGATTATTTTATAAACTGGATGCATCAATTTCCTCGCTGGATCTACTGAAGGAATTATTTCATTTTACAGGACTAATTATGAGACTGCACCAAAGCTGTCTATCTAATTTTTTATTTGAATAACTTTATTGTCAAATGATTATTCATTAGTGTAATATATAATTAGTGCAATAGAAACATCGTCTTTCGAAGTATTAACAAAAGCTGTCACCTTTGACATTACCAGAGAGTCAAGATGACTATACCGAGAATAAGAGCTCATTATAAATTAAACCTTCGTCGTATGTATCTATCAAACTTTTAGAATTGAATTTTTAAATAATATTTAATATTTCTAATAATTCGTTCAAACAATTTTTGTAAAAGTACATTTCTAAGTACTATTTAAAATTTTTAATTAATGATTTATAATAATCGAGTCACTGATACATTTCTACTTCTGAATTTTTACTGCTTTTATTTGTTATTTAATAATTTTAAGTAAATTGTTTATACGTAGTTATTTATCAGAATTAAATCAGTAATTTAAATTTTTCCAAACACGACTGTTCAAATATTTGGAAAAAATGATTATTTAAATTGTCCCCAAACAATTATTTTTTCCAAATATTAATTTTTGAACGTTAATTTTATTTCCAAACATTACTTTACAATTTTGAACATTTCATTTATAACAATTATTATTTTATTTCTAATCATTATTTAATAATTTTAACGGTTTGTTCATAGTAATTAAACGATTAATTTAATTTTTTCTGTACTCTAATAATAATTTCAATATATTGCTTGGTATGTATTCTGAGTTTATCCATGTAATTTTTGGTTTGCGAACATGAAAATAAAATTCTTGTTCTTCTGATTAAATTAAATAATATCATATATAAATTTAATGGTGTGGAACGACAAAGGATATCGTAGAATACGTGCGGTTTAGTTTTAATTAACTTTCAATTAGTTTTAGTTAATTGTCAAATTCACTGTGAGCGCATCATTCTTTACAATGATGCGCTTACTTAATTTTGGAACGAAAATTAGAAACCTCTCCCGTTCTCTCCTGTTCCCTGCGTTTCTACATTTTATTATTCAGTTCGTTATATTACGTTATGTTACACTTATTATGTTATGTTATTATTTATTGCATCAATCTAGCAGAGTAGTGTCTTTAATTTTCGTTCATTCGGTGAACTCGCGGAACTGCACCCTTTGTCCAATCAACACTTGTCTGGACAAAGTAGTCTGGTAGTTTAACGTCCTTGGTAAAACGGCTTAGCGGTTCTTCGGAAACTCCACTGTGGCGTTGGGGGGCGTTAGCATTAAATTATTTGTCTCTAAGTGCTCGAACCTTGGACTGGTGTGAAAATTCTGGACCAGCGGTTTTCATTTCGCATTTTTCCTTTTTGCCTGACACAATAGAATAAAATCGTTCAGCAGCTTTGTTCTCCTTTTTTTCATTCGACGTTAGATAAGCATGTTTTTGAATTCGATACAGAATGTGTTAATAGAAACTTAAATGGCGAAATGGAGGAGATTGGGACCTAGGTCAACTAGGTCAGATACCAAGCTAAAAACTACACAACTTAAAATTGCTAGACTACGCAAATTTCTTTATTTTTTTTTTTTTTATTCAATAAAAAATAATGGATTTTGCAGAAGATCGTAGCCTTTAATTTTTGCGGAATGAATGAATCATACAGCATATGATCCATAAGATTCTACACCTCCTTGGGATTAAATAACGGATCCATTCTCGTCTGCGTTTCAATAAATGGAACATCTATTCATAACTGTTGATTTTATCGTTTTCAACGATTGAGTTGAATTCTTACCTGTGATTGAATATAAATATCACGAAGGGTTTAAGAAACACTCTAAATAATTTGTGAAACAGTTGAAAATTTAGTTAGTGAAAAATTATATTTAAAGATATTTTCTGAAGTATAAATTACTTATGTTTAAGACGATGTTAAAACTACATTAAAATTTTAGTATTACAAATCTGTAAAACATGGATAGAGCTCTTGGTGATACGGAGTAGTATATGACAGAGTATATGACATATATATATATATATTCATATATCTTGTCTATGCTGTTAGCTTTATGGTACGTTTCGATATTGAAAATTTGACGACACAAATTATAAATTATGTTTCTGGCGCATTCACTACTTCAACACCGATCGTTTTGTTTGTAATTCTTTAATTCACTTCTCTTCATCTTAAAATATAGAAAATGTGTTCAAAATCCAGTGATTTTTTACATGTGATACCATGTGCAAATCTTATAAAGTATTATCATTGGTATTTTTAAATTAAAATTACTATTATTTTACTTAGCCAACTTGTATATTTTTTATTCATTGTTTAAGCATAATGCACTAAAAAAAAAACAGTGATTTCTTTTCTGGTCGGTATTCCAGAACCTAAGACACGAAATCTTATTTGATGTCCAGTCTATTCTATCTTTAGTTAATGGTGACAACAAAAATGTTTACAAAATTTTGAATCGTAATTTTCAAATTGCCAGAAATTCTTCTCACGGACTTCATTTTAACTTCAAAGAAACTTATCTTCAATATTTCAGCCAGAAATTATTGCAATGTAAAGAGACGAAACGTTCTTCGCAAAATTTTAATTTTTAACTTTCGATTTTTTAATCGCAAAGTCCTTCTCGGAGATAGCTTCAGCATTACATAAATTCAACATAAATTTAAAGTTTCATCCAAAATTTATTGCAATAAAAATAGGAACATAAATATACCTCGTCAGTGACCTACTGAAGAGAATATCGACGGAGCAGTTGGTAACGCAGAACTCTCTCGTTACCAGACGGACGAAGGAGCTGAATGGTTGCGGCAGAGTGTAGGCAGCACTGTCCTGGGGTTGAACTGGCAAACTCGGGAACTGGGTACCGCCACTGTGAAGAGAGATCGTAGGGGTTACGAGGAGGTAGTGGTCGTCAGTCGGAAGAGAGAGGCGCGCGTGGGGCGAGGTTGTTGCGGGTGAATTCGTGGGGAGAAGGAAAGCCGAGAGGGTGAGGGTGAGGGCGAGGGCGAGGGTGTCTGTACGTACACCGAGAGAGAATCGATCTAAAACTAGGAGTCGCCGCAGTAACCGCTGGGAGGAAGCCACTGTTACAATTTGCCCCCATATGCGCTAGTGAAATCTTAGATCGGGTAATTGTACGGTGAGAGGAGCAGCTAGAATGAGGTGTTCCCGCGAGGTGGTCGCTCGCGTTCGGCCCGCGCGTTGATTCGAGCATCGCGCGACACACCACCAACGCCGATACCGAGCTGATACAGTGCGGAAATTCACCGAACGAACGAACGAACGAACGAACAAACGAACCAAATCTGAAACTCGTCAAACAGAGAGTAATAGAGAGAAATAGCGAGAGGAAGGGAAAGAAACAGTTAGACAGAGAGAAATCAACGAATACGTCTATACTCTCTATAGAGAGAGAGGAGAGAGAGAGGGAGAGAGAGAAAGAGGAGCGCGCCAGGAACAGATAGATCAACCGCGAGAAGCAGAGAAAGAGGAAGAAGTGAAAAAAAAAGCGAGAAAGAGGAGGGGATAAAGATAGATAGATAGATAGATAGATAGATAGGTAGATAGATAGATAGATAGATAGAGCGAAATCGAGAGTGTGATAGACGAAGGGGGAGAAGGGGAGAGAAAGGGAAACGGTGTCGCATCGCAAGGTGTTTCGGTGTACGGTGCACAAGACGGAGGAACAACGTTCGTGAGAAGATCGCGAAAGGGTTGTACTTGGGGGGGGGGGGATAAAGCCAAGTTAACTGAACGGTCAAATAACCGAGAGAACGAGTGGAAGAAACGGGAAGGAGAACGCTCGGATCCAGGAGAGAAACCGAGAGAGAAACTGACCTGAGGAAGAGAAACGGAGAAAGACATAGAAGAAGAAGGAGAAGGAGAGAGAGAGAGAGAGAGAGAGAG